TGCCTGCTGAAACAGCTCTTCGAGTGTCAGGGTGAGTCTCCCCCAAAAATTGACTCCTGTTCCCTAAAACCTTCCAAACCACTTCACCTGCCCTCGTGCATTTGGAAGAAAGTTTCTGTTTCAAAAACAAATACAGAAAGAATTGCAGGCAAGAAAAAAAAAAAAAAAAAAAGAGTAAAGAAAAAGAAAATCACAAGATTTTGGGGCAAGTTCTGAGCAAAAGGTAACGATACATTTATTCCCTTCTGCTCTGGGAAAAGTTTATTTTGCTGCTGTTATATTTAAATTAGACAGTTCGGAGTGATGGTTCAGGGAATTAATCTTTCATCTGTAGCCTACTAGTTCGCATTCAGCCCGAGCAAAAAGCCGTGTTCCCTGGGTGCTTTCCAGCTGACAATTTTTTCATCACAAACCCACAAGTCAGAATTGCCAGCTGTGTTCAAAACCTAGCAGACAGCGTAAGTCCCGACTGGCCCCAAGGGCTGGGGAAAACTACTTTGCCCTGACCCTGCAGAGCAGTCCCAAACCTGCAATATGCCAGAAGCATGTCCAAGAGGCAGCGTGAGGGATTTGCTCCCTAACAGCCTCTTCGGTAAGCTTCAGTTACTGGGGTTGGCAGTGATCTCCACCAACAATAACAAAAATAAATATGAAAGTGCAGTCTCCAGCGATTTGCCGTATGAGGATTTAGTTAGTGTGGCTTTTTGAGAAATTAATCCGCATCTTGCATCACATCGCCAGCCTGAGGCGTCAGAGAAAAGTCTCTTTAAATTGTCAAAATATATAGAAGGGAAGGGTCCTCTGAGAAACTAAGCTAAACATGACCCATTCCCATGGGGTAGGAATCGTTCGAGTTATGCATAGTTTAGCACAACTTTCTACTTGCTTGGATGTGCCCCAGGTTGAGGCTGGGGTGTGAAGTGCAGAGTGGGGTTGGGGGCAGTGCCTGAGCCTTCAGCTCCACAGCAAAACATGGAGGGAAGGGCAATTTTTGTACTGCTCTCCACTGCTCAAACTAATTATGACTATCTGGCTGGCCCGGCGGCCATGTCGTTATTAGTTTCTGACTGCTGTCTGTGCTCTGTGACCCCAGAGAGGGAGACGACAGAGTTCACAACAGGAGTTAATGATGCTTTATGCAACATTAACTTTCTCCTGCAATTTCCTGCAGATCTTCCATACTACTTTTGGGTAGCAACCTGCTTCATGCGGCTCTTCTCTGGCTCATTTCTTCATACAAGTCAACCTTTGGCAATATGGATTATCTACAAAACAGAGCAGAGTGCAGTGACTGTGGAAATATCACAGTCATTTGCATTAGTCTCTTTTGTATGTGGAAATAAGTATATCAATACTAGCTATGTTAAATGACAACTTTTAAGTTTTCGCTTTGAAGAGGCTTTGCGTTATTTAGAAGTCTATTTTTGACATGAGTAAAGCTCTATATGCTTATATGCATTGAAAAAAGTTAACTAAAAAATTAAAGAGGAATTATATTCCCCTTTTGTTCTAGATTCACTCAATTGAAGCAGCAGAGTACAATGGTGTCTGGCCTACAAGCTCATTCTCTCGATCACTCAAACTGACCCAGGTACTAACCGGGCAACTTAGTAATCCCATCAAGTTTGAGTATAGCAATGGCCATGTTGGAAACCTTATGGCTCCTGATTCTGTCTCGGATGATGGTCTGAACATCTACAGAGGGATTCTGAATGTGCTGGAGCTAAGTATAAAGAAGATGCAGCATTCATACAGCTTACAGGAGGTGAGATTTTTGTTTTGGCCATTGTGGTCACTTTGTAAAAGGATAAGCCTTCTCTTCAGATTCTTCTACCACATTTTCTGAATTCAGAAACTTGACATAACCTTCACTAAAAAGAAACACCTAAGCCTGGGCAATCATGATTAAGTTGTTCTTATGGGACAAAATCTGATGGAGCTGTAGCTAAACAGGACAACCGAATAGCAGATTTTTAATCATGTCAGAAAATGCATTTTCAGTATTAGACCCTTAGAAAATCTGGCTTGTGATTCTAGAGAAAGTAAACTCCTGTGAAAGCTGAAGCCTACATAAAATTTGAATATTGTATTAAAAGAAGCTTAAGCATACTTAAAGCTAAAATAACAGTAATTTGACTTTTTTACCAATCATATATACTTCAATCTCTTCCAGCTCCTCTTTTAGGAGGAAAACAGTATATATGCCATGACATTACTGTAATAGCTTTGACAGTTGCAGCTGATGCTCTATTGGAATTTCCACTGTTTTTCAGGTTTTAATATCTTAGTCAAGGTAAATCATCTGATATTACTATTCACCACAGAAATTGCAATGTGTTTAGTTTTTGCGAAACCATATTTACATTGATTAGACTACATTCGATTCAGAGATCAGCAAAAACCTTGAAATTATTATATTTTCATGTTATTTTTATTGAAAATGCAGACTGGAGTAACTTTAATTTTTTAAAAATTTATTTTTATGTAAGTAGAGTTGTTTCTGGGAAAGAAACTACATGATTTATATATTCACGCTGCTTGTTCAACATAAAAACCCGGGGGGTGGTGTCGCATGTTCTGCAGTGCTATTTTCTCATATCTGGTTTTACATCTTCATTCTTTCTAATTCAGTTAGCAATATGTCCTACTTCTCGCTGCTGAGAAATATATGTGACTTCACCTCCTAGAATCGTTTCCAAGTTTTCTTTGCTTTTCTCACACACCAGCTGATTAATGAACATTGGCACCCTTGCTTGACAATCTCAAGTCACTCTGTAAAGGAAGATAAGCATTATTAGTCCCAAAATCTGAGCTTCAGAGAGGTTTAAAGGACTAACCTGGGAAAGACTACATCACATCTTGCAGGGTGTAGGGTAATGGTATCTGAGCTAGCTGTGAGCTGCACGCAGCTAGAAAGTCCAGCTAGGCAGGAGGCTATTCCATCCCACTGAGACCAGTGGGCTGGACATTCCCATTTAAAGTCTAGATGTCTCTACCACACCCTGCAGTCTGCAGAGGAGCCCCACGCCTGTTTTTGCAGACTACAAGTCTTTCAGAAAGCTTGGGTAATTCTTATTTCTAGCCCTTACCGAAGCCACAGTGTCTTCAGGAATACTGTTAAGCTAAAGATGAAGCGGGTATGTCTTGCCTCCTGACCACCACATGACCATTTTGCTGTTCTGACATAGCCCAGAGCTGCTTTCTGGAGTGGCTATGCTATCAATAACAATAAAAAAAATCATGAAAATAACCCTTCCTCCTAAAATGCAATCAAATATTTTCCTCTCCAAAAATCTTCTCACTGACTGAGGAGATTTAAGAGATCTTATAAATATATATGCTTGAAATATTATTGAAGATCTGAGCTAAAACTGTGAACTCAAGAAAACCCACAATCAAAACTCTGCTATCCTGAAATTCTTTTTAATTATTGCTGTTCATATTGTGACAGATCATCTGATATTGCAAGGCCTGTTCCATAGGCATTTATAAGCTGTCTATAAAAGCAAATTTTAAGGGCAGAATGTCATCTCCAACCTTAAAATACTTTTCTGTTGAGATTTTATTCTGACTGATCAAATTATTTTGGCAGTTTTTATTAATATTCCTTAAATCGTATTTCATAATTGACAGCTCTAACTGGAAATTGTTACTCACCTTTTCTGAGGCTCCAAATCCTGTCTCAGTGAAACTCTTGAGAATTTTAGTTCTCTCAGTGAAGCTCTGATTTGGCTTACTGGAAACCTGTACATGTAAAAAAAGAGATAAAATTAGTGATCATCCCAATTTTGCTTCTGGAGAGTAGCATAAATAAAAAAGCATTCATTTCTATCAGGAATTTCGAAAATACACAATTAAACAGGAAAGCCTGTGTGGGGAGTTGATGAAGTTTTGTGTAGGGGTGAAGTTCTCTGATCACATTCTCATTTTTGCCAGGCTGGGATTGAAGGTATTTGCAACACAACGTACACAATCCAGGAAAACAAGAGGGCAAACTTAGTCTATGTGACCAAATCCAAGGACCTGAACAGTTGTGAAGAGAAAGTTGAAGTGGTCACAGGTTCAGCATACACTCATCCGTGCCAGACCTGCCAGCAGGTAAATTAGAGTGGTATTACGTGTATATATTTTATATTCATATACAGGGAGCCATTTTGCATCCACATTACCTCTTGCTTTGTTACGCTTAAAATGAGAGAAGAGTCAGATCTTCTGTATCTAGTTATCATTTTCTTTCTGTAAGAAAATCAGATCCACAGAGCAGCAGAGGTCTGTGCTGCACCCTCATGTGCTGCAGACACACTTCAACTAGCTTAAACTAGCTGGCTTGGAACCCATTAATTATCAGCATGAGTTAATTCATCTACCCTGTTGAGTAAAAAAGATAGTCACGATGTCCAGTTTCTGCTATTCAAGATAGGTACTGCTGCATCTTATTATAAACCTGTCTTTGAAATAAGAAAACGTGTGGCTTATACTGCTGCTCTCCTCAGAAAACGTGTCTCCTTCTCAAGGGAATAACCAATTACTTATATTCGGGAAAGGGAAAAACCAGCTAACACTTCTTAGCAGTAAAAGTAACGGAGCCAGGCATTGTGCCTGACCTCTCCCATGGAAGCGTGCACACAGAATTCACATAAAGTGCTCATATGGACAATGAACAAAACAGCCCTGGAAAATAAGTGGGTTGAAGTGGGTGATGTAATAGCTTCTAGTCACAGAATTTAGAAGTTCAATGACTTTCTATTTTCTTTGTTTCTTTGCTTTTTTATATTATAAAGAGAAATAAGAATTCCCGGGCAACTGCTACTTACAATTACAAAATTAAATATACACGTAATGAAGCTGTAATTACACAAGCTGATGTTGAGGAAATCCACCAGTTTGCACCCTTCAATGAGATAACAGGAGGAAATGCTATAGTAGAAGCAAGGTACAGTACATATGCCTTTAATTCAGCAACTAACACAGCATCTCAGTAATCTGGTCAAACTCCATAACTGAAATAAATCCTTTACTTCCACAGCCTATGGCTTGCCAGTATTTAATTACATAAAATCCCAAACAGTTCATAAAAACAACCTTCACTGCTAGTTGTAAATCTGAAACATGCACATCACTATCCAAATTTTGTTAGCTAAACTTGGCAGGGTTTGACTATTTTATTTCTCAGGGATATTTGATTTATGTCATAAAAGCCAAAACAAATGTAATTCCATCTGAAAAATTGTGAACTAATATATTTGCAGTAAAATACTTTGAAAGACAGTTACTCACTGAAAAAGAGTTCCCTGGAAAATAATAATGGAGTAAGAGACCCTGGAGACTAGTTCACAAGAAACCTAGATAGGACTTCGGATTCCTATATACTTCCTAAGTACAGTGGGCTGCTTGCAAATCTCCCATCAAAACAGTTTCTTGATAGGAAATTGGGGTTTATTGCAAAAAGATTGGGCACAAAGCATATAAAATGTATTCGCTTTTCCACAGCAAATTTTGCATATTTCTTAAACAAGTTTGGGGCAAAATGAGAAGATGGTTGTCTAAGAAATTAAACCCCTGTTCACTTTTAGTTCAAGCCCCCAGAATTTCAGTGTTTGAAAACTTTTTCATCTGCTTCAAAGTCATGTATTGAAAAAATTTTTAGTTACCTGCTTTAGTGATGGACTCTGTAGCCAAGGCTTTTTGCATAAAGGTCACTGTACAGAAGATATACCTCAATCCCACACCAGCTGCTGTAATCTTGCATTGCTCCATTAGCTTTTGGAAGAATCTATTGGTACAATGTACACTTTTGGAAACTGCAACATCAGAAAGTTCATGTCAATAAATCACTGATTAACTTCATTAATATGATGAACATGTTCAAAAAGACAACAGTAAAGGTGAAACTGGCTTTACCATCTCATGCAATCAAGGTGAAGATAGGTACAACTGTAGTGCTTTTATCAAATTATAGGTTGCTGTGAGTGAGCATTAGTCTGCAGCCAATGACTTTTGCTGATTTAAACTCTCCTTCTGCAAGCCTACATAAACTGTCTTCCTTACTGCTCTTCCTGAGGTGTTGAGCCCCCAGAAAAGGTAGTGCCTTCACTTTTCCCCATTTTCTCTAGATCTTTTGCATTGTCCAACAGATGGGGCCAAATATAAGATAGCTGGGAAGATGTGGGTATGTCAGAAGTTTTCAGAAGTTATTTCTACAATGCACTTTCTGTGTAAAAAAAAAAAAACAAAAAAAAAAGAAAGAAAGAAAGAAAGTAAAATCTAACATCAAGGACTTAAAACATTTGGAGCTGAGTTTTCAGACCTGTTCAGCATAAGCCTCTTGCAGCACCTTTCAAAGCCAAGAGAGGTTTTACTATTGTTTCACCATTTTAATCCTAACTTAGTATTCATTTGCTCTTCTCTTTGGAATATAACATTTTCCCATCTATTCTAGGCAGATAATATCTCTTCCCAAAATGATGAAGATGAAGACATAATAGATTCATCATGTTCTGGAAGGGGCAGTTAAATCTGTCCAAGTGTACCTGGTGTTATACTTTCTGACCCAAATGCCCTTTCAATAATATTGTATAAAATTTCAAGAGACAAAAAATCTCTGCTGATTCTGTAGCAATTTCTATTCAAATTCCAGTGTCTTGTCTGCAAAGCAGTTATATGCTATTTTCTGCAGCAGTTCTCTGCAATCCACATGGAAGGAGCAGATAGAAATGATACAGAAGATCATCGTAGAGATTCCAAAATAAACACGCCAATTTTCTACAGAGATTTTGAGATACCGTGTAGTACAACAATATTGCTTTTGGAATGTTTTTAGTTTTTCAGTACAAATGCCTAACTTTATTATAGTGTCCTAAACGACCTATTTTGAACATAAATGCTGGGATAGGATGCATTTTGCTACAAAATGTAGCAAAGATAGAAAATATTTACAAAGACGGTCTCTCATTGGAATTATTCTTAATAACAAAGGATGAAGGTTTGGTGCTCCTTGAACAGTTTCCAAAAACTTGAGTACCTTTCCGAAGACTAATCCTGAATTTATCTGGCCCTATTTGTTTGGGAAATCCAATCTGAAACTTCATGAGAATCTTTTATCTTCTGCAGTCCCCAGGACATTCAGCTTGCCAGGCAAAATTGGGAGAGAATTGTAATAGCGCAAGTAAAAATATTGTAGCATTTCTTGTTGTATCTAACAATTTTCAATTCTTTTTGAAGCTTGCAGGAGGCACAGACATGTACGAGCTTTTATGAACTTCTTAAAAGGTTTAAATTAAGTGATAATTTCTAAAAAAGTTTCCCATCTCTTATTTTTCCCTAATCCTTAATTTACTGCTTAAGACACAACACACAGTTCCTGTGATCTTCTTCAGGCCACAGCTTCTCACCTCCCACTTCTTCCTTAAATTCTTAAGCCATGTTATTCCCAAAGGAAGGCAAAGGCTGGCTTTGATCTGAACCCTGCTGTGTAAGTACACACCTTCTCAGAGTACGGTGCTGAGCATCATGTCCAAATGTATCTGTTTGCCCCTCAATAACATAACCCTTTTGAAACAATTGTAGTCGCATTGCAATGCAGGGAGGCAGAAACATTGTTCTCTTTTTATTTTGTACCCTGCATCTTGTAATGTTATCTCCCTGGGTTCCTCCGTTCCAGGCAGAAACTTGCTTTGACTGACGTGCAAAAGCACATGGCAGAGGTCCCACCAAAAGAATTCCAGAATCGTGGATCACTTCAGTACCAGTTTGGCAGTGAATTGCTTCAGCTTCCTGTCCACTTATTCAGAATAAAAAATGTGGAAAGCCAGGTAAAGTTCAGCCACAGGACAGACTCTTTGTTGGAGGTTGGAGTCCATGCATGTGAAAAACAATGCATGTGAGCTTTGTGCATTTTAATCTTCCTGCAGATAGAGGAAAGCCTGCAAGACCTAGTAGAGACCACATCTGAACAGCTTTCCAGCGATGCACCAGCAAAAGCCCTCAAGCTTGTGCACCTCTTCCGTGCAGCAAACGAGGAGAATTATGAATCAGTGTGGAAGCAGTTCTCCAGTCGGCCAGCGTACAGGTACAAGCAATACAAATGGCGATTCCTCTGCTGACAAACTCTGTTGGAGACCATCTGGAATGACTATGTTCAAATGCAGATCTGGAAAAAAGTTCTTGCCTTTCCCGTTACAGGCGCTACATTTTGGATATAATTCCTGCAGTTGCCAGTCACCGTGCACTCAGGTTCTTGAGGCGTAAAATGGAAAGGCAAGAACTCACCAACTGGGAAGCAGCTCAGACGGTGCTTGTGGCTCTGCACTCAAGCACACCAACACGGGATGTGATGGAGGAAGCAACAGTAGGATTCTCTAAACACTCTCAAATTGCTCTTTACTGATTTTAGCATCTGTCGTATTTATTCCTTTGACAAGATTGCAAAGGCTTTGGAAATACAAAGGTTTTATATCCTCTAGTGAGGCTGAAAGGAGTTTATTTCCTGACTGTCTTACGGGAGGAGAATGCAAATCAAAAGAACAAAAATGAATCCAGAATGAAACAGGAAAGAAAGAATAAAATACCCCTGAGTGACAGAGGTTATTGCTGCAAACAATGGTTTCTAGTCTCCTTTTGTTCAAATGTACTTTATAGTTACATCAGATTAGATCTCTAACTGAGTGTCTACAAAGACTAGGGAGTAAGAAATACATATTTGTTATATCCTGTATTCGTCCTGATTGACCTAGCAGGATGGGTATAAATTGGAGCAGATTTAACGAAATTAAGGGAATTATGCCAATGTGGAGCCCACGTAGGAGAAAGTCTAACAATTTTTACAATTTTTCCCTCTTCTGCAGGGTCTAACTCTTGCCTTGGATGCAGGAACTTTTCTCTGCCTACCCTAGGTAGAGACCACGTATCTCAGACCAGAGTTTTGCCCTCTAAAAGCCATGACAGCTCAGCTGTTACTGTGCAGTAATGCTCTGCTTCCCACTCAAGGAAACAGTGGGCTGGTGCCTCCTGTCAGCTCCTACTTTTATACAAAATATTCCTGTCTGCCCAAAGTACTGAGATCCATTCACAATGTATCTCGAATTTTTTGTACCTATAGCTGAGGCAATTATAAAACAATGATGAATGTTTCTTGAATAAAATGTGTTTTTCCGTTCCATAACTGGGTGATTTCCTCCCTTTGGATTACAGCCTATGCCAAATTTAAATCTGAAACACTATAAAAGCAACAGATCTGCCTTCCAGATGTTACTTGGAATTACTTTACAATTGCATTTTCAAATACAGTAATATCCACTGATTAACTATAAATCCATCGATACAAAAATATCAAAAGTCTGGGTTTGCCTTGCATTTGGCAGAAACATATTTTTTAATATTGTTGCTCTTCATTAATGGTGGTAACGAACAACTGCTTTCTCCCCAGCTCATCGTGAAAAAACATTGCCCGCGCTCAAGTACTGTACTTGGAAAGGTTTGCCATCTCAGCTACGCGTCACTATGCCACAAACAGTGCTCTTCATCAGACTCCTGCTCTGAATGTCTCCAGGTAACCACATTTTTATTTATCGTTTAAAAGAAAAATTAAGCCTTGAGTTCTTTCTTCATTATTCAGAAACCTATATTTCACTTCACTACAGTGTTTCCTTTGGGGAAAGGAACCCCAGTTGGTTAAATACAGCATTTTTATCTTTAGATTAACACACGAAAGAGAGTGAGAGGAAGAAGCATATAATTCATAGCACTTTCTATCCGAGTATCTCTGAGTGCTTTATTGCCAATTATTAATGAAGTCCCATGGCACTGCTCTGAAACACTTTAAATATAGGTACTTATATATACTTGTAAATAAACTAAGTGACACAAAAGCCCAGGTTTTTGCCTAAAGTCATGTAGCCCTGCCATTTCTCAGCCAGAAGCAGAGCCCAGTCATCCACATAGACTATAAGCTTTTAGTAATAGTAATACCCTCCCTGTCCTGCACTGCTTTTTATCAGCAGGCCTGAAAACAACTTAAAAAGTCAGTAAATAACATTTTCCTGTCCTAGAGATGCATGTCATGGTTTACAGAGGCCAGCCACCCAGCCAATGATGGAAAGAGAAATAGGTGTTTTCAGTCTTCGACACTGGTCAGTCCACCATCCCCAGTAAGAGCTGGGTGTTCCCAATACATTGTGTGCCTGCCATGATTTTTTTCTTGTAGTACACAGGCGTGGCTGACATTCCTACGTGCATCTCCTGTGTTACGACTGCCACCAATGCTCTTGGGCTAATTAAATCTAAGCCCAGTGCCAAGGAATGGAAATTCTTTCCCAAAGCAAATGACTGTACAGGCTTATTCAATGCATTTCAAATGTCCATTCATTCGATTAGTAATATCAAACGGACTGTTTCTGCACCATCAATGGATCTCAGATGTGATATTTTAAAACATGGGAACTGTATTGAAATTACTCTGTAACATCGCAGGGTTTCTTTTTTAGAGCCATTTCTTAGCACTGAAAACAGTTTTCTATTAGGATTTAGTTCTTTTCTCATATTCAGCCTTCAGACAACTATTTCTAATCTTGCCACATAAATGTGTGATCCAGTTGCTTACGACAAAGGCTGTAAAATGACCTATGATCACATTGCCGGCTATTAATCCACAATAAAACATGGCTGTCAGCTAAAGTTAAGGGCACTACCACTAGCCATATCTTCAAGAATCTTATTTAAGGGTCTGAAGAATTTAACTGTATCTGCATTTTTGCACCTGTCTTCAACCATTAGTCAGAGATACTCAAACAGCATTATTGCAGGGTTCCCAGCTCATGCTGAAAGGCAGTGGGAACTAGCTCCTAGGCATTACTTTTTGCTTTAAAAATCTTACTTGATAACTTTAAGGCATAGTGATGAAGAAGCTGTTCATTGCAGCTTTCTTGGCTATGCTTGTTCTATGAATAAAATGTCCTATTCATGAGGACGAAAAGAATTTGAAAATATTTAAAATAAGTGAATTGAACAAACTGAAATTATCAAAGTCAAACCTCAGAATAGGCTGGGGGATGGGATATAGATAAAAGCTGGAATTGAACTCAGCATAAGATTTGTTTTCTTTTTTCAGCTACTTCATGGCTTTGCAGGAGAGGTATTGAGCAAATCTAACACAGAAGAAATTTCCCTGGCTTTGAAAGCCCTTGGGAATGTAGGACATCCAGCCAGCATCAAGCATATCAAGAAATTTTTGCCAGGATATGCAGCCAGCGCCTCAGATCTGCCCCTCAAGGTCCATGCGACTGCTGTGATGGCCCTGAAAAACATAGGAATGAAAGACCCCAAAATGGTAAGGAAACAAAGCTGCCCTCCTTTGCACTTATGGTAACCCAGCACAAGGCTGCTAATCGATGATGGGTGATTTTTTTCAAATATAGCTGTAATATGGGGAGGGGGGTTAATACTTAACCATTCCTTAGTTGGCATGTCTTATTCCTTTTGACATTAACCTCTAGTGTTTCAGACTGCAACAAAAATCCCATTGAAAGGATACATTCATTACCCTGTTGTTGAAGACAAATCAGTGTTTCCATTGCAAACATTTGTTTTCCAAGGACATTAGATAGAAAGCTAAATTATTGACCAAAATGTGTTTAGTGCTACTTCAACTTTGGTATGTGAGAGAGCCACAAAACAAGGTTTTCCGAGAATTGACATTTAATACTGAGTGTCACATCTAATCGTTATTCAAGACCAGATCTTATTGTAAATAGATACTAGAGGTTTGCATCCTAATTACGAATTTACAGACATTGTGTGGGTTTAAGTCATAAACAGAACATTTAATAAATGTGACTTTTGTCCCTGAACAAGATGATTAGATGTCACATACAATGGTTACACAGGCATACTCTCGTCCACCACAGACATCACTTTACAATCATTTTCACCTTAAAGCAATCTGCTTCTAAAAGGGAACCTTGCATTTTCAAGATTTTTTTTCCTGATATTGAAATTTTTTTCTTTATATAAGACTATTCTTAACATAAAAAGTAAAATAAAAGCTTTCATTAACTATTCTCCTACTAATCTGTATCAGTTTTTCCATTATACTCATTTTTTTGCATATGACTCCCAGTTTGAGTGCACGTATTGATCCACAGACAATAGTGTGCTGAGGTATGCTTTTAAGCAAAAGAATAAAGAAACAATTTACTAGAGTGCAGGAGCTAGATGGGGAAAAGCAGAGGGGGAAGAGAGAATAGCAAGGGTAGGATTTAGAGAATTTGCTGGGGAAGAAAAAAGCCAGTTTGATGTTTGACAACAATGCTGTGTCACTGATGGCCCTTTGGCCCGGCTTTCCACATGTGACCTGGACCACCCATTTTCTATGCGTTTTCTTTGGAGAAAATTGATCTGGAGCAAATTAATGACTGTGGCCAGATTTTTCATTGTTCAAAAACCAGTTTAATGCCTGGTTTGCAGCTAGCTGCACACCCATATTTGCATTAAACAGACTTAGTACATGGTTTGTCTTTTTTATTGTTCAATTTGAAAAGGTATTTTCATTTAGAAAGAGGCTACTGCATCCTTGTCACCACTTTTACGTTGGTATTTGGTAATCAACATATCAAATTAATAAAACCAATCAGAGTATTTCCAAAGTTTGTTGAAATTTTCTGGATCAGACTTTTCATTAGAGAGTGTGGATGTGCACTGTCCCAGGCAGGACAGAACTGTGCAGAGGGGCTGCCAGAACAGTGTTGTGCCATCAACATCCATTTTGAAGTTGGGCTCAAAGGCTTCAGTGCAGCTCATGGAAACTGGAAAGGTTCCAGTACAAAATTAGTCTTGATACTGAATATGGCCGGGGTCAAACACATTGGTCACAAGCAGTACTGTAGAAATTACATTTGTTGCATAAACTTTCAGTTTTAAACTGCCTACATGACATAGAGATTTCTGGCAGTAAACCTGTTTTTATTCTAGCAGAAAGGGCTCCAGGACATCGAATAATTAGAAATAAGGCATACCTTTATGGGTAGAGATGAGTGATCACTGAAACCACTTCTCAGGTGTGTGATGGATCCATGAAATCTCTTCTACCTAGAGTGGTTATGCTACAGATATATTTTGCTACAGCTAAAAAAGGGATAATATATTCGATGTAGAAGTTATCCAGCAAAGTTCCTGGGCTTTGATTGTGTAAGAAGTCAGACTACATTTCCATAATGCCCCTTCCAGCCCTCAGACTATGAAACCAGAAACACTATTGCCATAATAATTAAATAATACAAATTTTTACTGCACTAGTGGTGAAGAGATCATCCACTGGTGATGAACCATTATTAGAAAAATGTTCAAACATACTGTAAATTTGAATGTATCTATTATTTTCAGGTCCAGGCTATTACCACTGAGATTTTCCTGAATCACAAAATTCATCCTCGGGTCCGAATGCTAGCTGCAGTGGTTTTGCTTGAAACCAAGCCAGGTCTTCCAATACTGATGACATTAGCTGATGCTGTGCTGAAGGAACCTAGCATGCAAGTGGCAAGTTTCATCTACTCTCACCTGAGGGCCCTGGGTAGAAGCACAGCTCCAGATCTTCAAGTGATGTAAGGAAAATCTGGATCCCTTCCCTAGACGAAAAACTTGTTGCAAACTAGTTGATGTGTTAATGTGCTCACTGAATTTTTTCAGGGCTTCTGCCTGCAGAATGGCTATCAGAGTATTAAGTCCCAAATTCGACAGATCTGGATATCAATTCAGCAAGGTTTTCCGCTTCAGTATGTTTAAAGGTAAGATTCAGAAGATTTTGTAGAGAAATATGTACAGGTCAATGTGTGAAAAAAATCGTACAGTATGAGAACCCAATTCTCCTAGCCAGCTGGTTCACTGTGTGTTGTTGGTCCATATTCTCCTATGTTCCATGAAAAAAAAAAAAAAAAAACCAACCCAAAAAAACCTCAGGCTCTCTGTTTGGAGAGTGTTTAGGTCCCTGTGTGGTTTGCATTGTACACTGCCAGCATGAAATTACCAGAGGGCTTGTGGGGTTCTAACCCTTCATTTTCATTAGCCAGTGAGGCACATGCTCCTGTATCAAATGCTATAGTCTCAGTGGTGCTTAACAATTTCATACCATTGTTCAGCACCAAACAAACAGAAGGGACCTAAATTACTGCTGAAGTGGATTAATTTCTGATGGTGCTGAACACCTACAACTCTTGCTGAATTCAAATGTGATGCTAAATACTCTTCACCCCAGCAAGTAGTGCCCAGTGAAACAGCAAACTCAAAACACTCAGATGTGACAATTCATTGCACCCATGAGCAGCTAACTCAGGCTTATTGTCTAAAGATTTTTTTTTTTTTTTTTGCACCTTCCTACCAGGATTCTTTACTGAAATGAGCAGATCCACACATGGGATCTGCAGGGTGACCAGTTACATCAGTGGGAGTTGCACATAAAAATGTAGTTGGAGTGGGGAGGACCAGATTAGCTCTTGCTGAGCCAAATTGTAGCTATCTCTATTTTCCATGTATGTTATTTTTCTCAGTAGAGGTTTTTTTAAGCAACTCCCCTATGTAAATGAGCATGACAGCCTCAGTGATTTGGCATATGTAGCTGGCAGACTAGGGAGATTATATCTACAAACACAGTGTCCTTACACATGCTGTTTATCTAGGAGGACTTGGATGGTTTTAACACTTTTGTTATTCACTGGTACATGTAAAGATTCTTTTCAAAGTAATCAATAGAAAAAGAGACTCTGAAACATCTGAAATATACAGTGCTAAGCGTACAAGTACTTTTGCTTTCTTTTTGGAGGGGGGAGTGGTTTGAAAGACTTGTGTAGATCTTATTGTTGCCCTGCCCCTGTTTCATGGTTTTTACATAACCATTTAATCTGCTCTGTAATAAAAATAAATACAATACATACCACAACAACCACATTAATATACGATACACTTGCTTGCTGCCTCAGAGATGGAGACAGAGAGTGCCCAAAGAAATGCAGTCACTAATGTGCACTGTGTCAACTTTTGTACCATTTAAAATGCATTCAGGGAGAGATAAATTTTCCAGTAATAAGCAGATAGGTGTTTCTAGTTTTAGGTACTCATTTTCTCCTCTTATTTTTGCATTTAAAGTGAAGCTACCTGAATTTTCATACAGTGAGAAAGAAGGGTGAAGTACACATGAAGGTAGATGGCAGAGAGCTATATGAAATGGATTACTTTGTTCTGGCTGTAACCTGGAAATGCAGCACATCAGTGAATTGCTGTTACTTTTTGGTGAAGACCAGTGTCAGAAATTTGGTTACCATGCATATGTAATATTTAAACCTCTCATCCTGAAGAATAAGGAACAAGATCCTTTTCTCACACATGCTAATCTTAGACTTGGATACTCAGTTAGCTAAATGAAGTCAATCCTCTATTACACTGGTGTGGGAGGAGGATCCATCCTCCAGCTTTCTGATTTGATTTGTCACCACTAGCCACAGGTGAAATGTGTTTCAGTGAGTCCATTCTGGAGGAGTTACCATAGTGACGGCTGTAATGCAGTACTTATTTCCTTGCTAAAAACAAAAATGTGCCCTCAGCATCACAGATCATTGTGGTGCTAGATGCTGAATTTTTAATGACAGGCAATAATGTCAGCTGAATCTATCTCTAATGTAGAATCTGTCACACATGGCCACCACAAATATTGCTTCATGCTCTACACACTGCTACTGAAATCAAAGGGATGACCCAGGTTCTGCTCAGTGTGAGGACTGACAGAATCTGACTCTCAGTATGCACAGATTCATATAATTAAATAAGTGTACTAATATTCATAGGTACCAAAGACTGCTTTCTTTGATCACCTATTTTTCTTTCCCTCTTCCTTGGGGCAAGACATTTAGTCAGATATATGTAGGTGCCATCACACTCTCACAGTGAAGTGGCTACAGTGTATCATCTGACTGTGTCAGGAGGATTTTTCATTGGTAAATATTTTCTTAGAGAATTAGTGCTATGTAATGCCTGAAGTATAGAAAATATCCCTGCTCTCTTCAAATCAATGAATTCTGTATAATCATTTAGTCATTTATGAGCAACACTTCTTAAGTATCACTAAGTACCATGAGTTTTTTTCAACTAACAGTTTTCATGGGTTAGAACACAAAAAAAGAGCCTTAACACATTCACTAAAAGTACCACACCTCATTCTAGTGTCCAGTCCACATAACAGCTAGGAGTGTTCTGGCTAAGCTAATTCAGAGAAAAACTAGTCTTCACATTTCAAGTCTCAAGTCAGCTTATTAGTAATGTCCCAGTGTGGCATCACTTTGCTTTTTATTTTCTACAAGATCAGCATTAAAAAGTGAGCTTTTGTCATCTCTCCTTGCTGTCTGCCAATGGTTCTCCACTGATTCCTCTGCCATCAATGGGGTGGCATACATACCTGTATTTTGATTGTAGGAGCTGTTACTGGACCACGTATGTTGTATGTAGATAGTGCCTAGCACTTTGGGTAGCACAAGAACTTCATACAGCAAAACAGTGAAGGTGATGTAGTGAAATGCCAGTTCATACAGATTTAGTAGACTAAGTGGATTTGTTTTCCAACAGACTGTTTCTCAAATACATGAAAAGTTGGAATCTGTCCTGAGAAATTAGAAACCAAAATTAGTTCCAGCAATCTGATAGGAAACAATTTAGTGTGAGGAGTAAATGAGGGTACAGGACCATCTAGACCCCTGTCTGCATGCATGGGTTCAGAAGAGAATGGGAAAGTGTTGACTCACAAGTGACATGTTATCTGAAAGACAGAGGGTAGCTCTAGAGAAGTAGTATGGACATGAGTATTCGTAAAGCCCCACATTTGTGAACCAAGCAATAATCTTTTCTTTAACTTTTGGCTAAATAATTTATGAGAATTTAGGCACTCTTCTTCTGGAAAGAGGTCAAAGACTCACTCCCTCTCGTAATGTTTGAAAATATATTTCCTACAATTCATCAATAATTTCTGTACAGCTACTGAAATTATTGGTCTGGATCTTCAAGGGCTCTGCAATTATCCTGGCTGTACTGGATTTCCAAAGCTGATTTCTGGTAGTGCTGGGATTTAATCAGTGTATGGTGCCTATGTCTAACATGAGGATAGCAGAAATTTAACATAGGGACTCCTGAAATACTTCCCTGTCTTCCAACTAGTGTAGGAAGAGAAGAGAGAGGAGTGCTGGAGGAAAGGAAGCACAACAGGGATGCCTACATACCATGTCAGACTTCTTCCTCTTGAAAGCTAAGGAAACTTAGAAAAGCCTTGGGATTACTTTAACTCAGAAAACAGGACTATACAGACCTGTGCCAAGATCAGGAAGAATACATGACTGTGCTCTGTGCTGATTATCTGTATCTAAGAACATTATAGGTGATAAATTTAAAGTAGAGAAAATAAATAGACACAAATTATGTTTGCTCAAAGTTCACTCAATAGTTAACAATTACTTAGCAATTAGTGCATTTCATGTCAGGAGTTAAAGCATTTGGAACTAGATGTATTAAATTGCCTCTGAGTCATTTGAGAGACAAATCTACACCTCACCATCTGTCCTTGCAGGACATCTCTATTACTTTCTGTACACGATTAGCAAAGGATGGCAAATCTGGTTTCATTTCTGATTCCCTTTGTTAAGTTGCCCTAAATGATGTCTCTTAAAAACATTTCATAAGCTGACGTTACAGAATCTGACCGGATGTAAATGATATAGCAGAAGCAATTGGAAAAATAGCATAACCACCATGTAATGAGCAGGGGGCTTGTAATTTTGCCCATTAATAGTTCAAAAATGCAGAATATTCTGTTTATGACTGGTTTATAACATCCGTTTTATAGCTGGGTTTTCTGGCCTTTCTCATATCATGCTGTATCAGTTGAATTATGCAATTAGTAAATTGATACAATCTGCACAATGTGGCTTTAAAAACTAACTGTGCTGTGTTTTACCAACTATTTCTCTTCAGAGGTCCTTATGAGTGGACTGGCAGCTAAATATTTGGTATTGAATAATGCAGGCAGCTTAATTCCAACGATGGCAATGTCCCAGCTGCGGACATATTTCCTTGGAAGAGTGGGTGATCCCTTGGAGGTAATTGGGTCTACCCACAGTTTGCCCTCTCATTGCATCTTACGACCATCATCCAACTAGCATTTACACTTTACTTCTTCCCACAGGTGGGAATAATGGTTGAAGGACTGCAGGAGATGTTTGCTAAACGTTACTCTCCTGACAGGAGCTGGGAGACTGACTATGACTTCAAGGAAATCCTGAAAACGGTAAATTCTCCAGGAAAAGAAAGTCTCTAAGGTATTGCTTCCCCAAATGTTATGAAGAATCAGATTTTCTTCCTCTTCTCATGCAGCTCTCTGACTGGAAGGCATTCTCCAGTGACAAACCTTTTGCATCCGGCTACTTGAAGATGTTTGGTCAAGAGTTGTTCTTTGGTGGACTTGATAAAAATGCCATTCAAAATGCATTGCAGGTATCATTTCAAAAACACCACCATCCAAGCATAAAAAGCTTTAAAACACTGTTTCTTTCACACATTCTCTCCCTTTTTTTAACTTTTTAATTCAAGAGGGTTTTTGTCTTTAGTATTAATCAAGGCAAATAAGGTCAAGCTTTGATCAGGCTTAGCTATAATCGTTGCTGGCAGACTTTCCCCTGAGGCACAGTTAATGGCATGGATCATGATATTCAAGTTCTGCTTATTTAGACAAGTTGAACTCTGTAATTGCAGGCATGGTATGGACCTGACGAAAAAATCCCTTCGATAAGGAGAATAATCAGTAGCCTTCAAAGTGGTGTAGGGAGGCAGTGGACAAAGGCTTTACTGTCCTCTGAGATCCGTCGTATTGTGCCCACCTGCACTGGGTTCCCAATGGAGACCAGCTTCTATTACTCTTCTGTCACAAAAGTGGCAGGAAATGGTAATGTATTTCAAAACTTGAGCAATACAAACATGCTTGTCAGGATTGTGGGGGGAGGATTTCAAATGCTTTTTTTGCTTTCTTTGTAATAGTTCAAGCACAGATTACACCTTCTCCAAAGTCTGATTTCAGATTGACTGAGTTACTAAATGCCAACATTAGGCTGCGATCCAAAACGAGTCTAAGGTAAATATTTAGTATAAAATAAAAGAATTATATCTCCAAGTGACAGAGGCCATAAAAATTCAACATCTGTTTGCTGTCTGAACATAATTTTACCCTCATTCTACCTTTTCAGCTTGGCTAAGGAGATGACCTTTGTAATGGGGATCAACACACACATGGTCCAGGCAGGGCTGGAAGCACACACCAAAATGAATGCTCATGTACCTGTGAATGTTGTTGCCACTGCCAATATGAAGGAAAAAAATATCAAAATTGAAATTCCACCATGTAAAGATGAGACTAACATAATTACTGTAAGGTAAGAAATAGCACTTATTATCTTCCTATGTAGCAATGCAAGTCTTTCCAAATAAAACAGAACTTTTGCTTAGGGATCTTCTCTTGACTGACAGCTTGGGTAACTGGCAATGATTGGTGTAGTTTATTTATTTTAAATGAAGTGACAGGTACCAAAGCTTTGCTTGAAAATATGTGTTATTTCCTGCGGTCTTCACCTGAAAATCCTCTTTAGGGCCATTTCTCAGTTGTTGAGACCCATAAGCTATTTGAAACACAAATGGCATAAAATTTCTATCCCAATACATATATTTGGACCAGAGACACTAGGTAAGATATAAGCCAGCTGAATCCTATCAGTTATAACAGATAACCCATATATATTTGCATTTGATGCCTTGAAGCATAGAGGATTTGGTGTTTCTTGTGTTTTTACCTTGTTTCCCTGTGGCTGCCATTTGGTTTTCTTGCCTGTTAGGTCTACTTGATTTATTATCAGTGCATGCAATTACAATACACTCTGGAAAACTGTTGTAGCCAGATGCCAAACAAATGAAAACAGATGGAAATACAAGCACAAAGAGAGGGAGGAAACAGAAAGAGTATGTCCAAGGAATCAAAGCAGTAGACCAAAGCTTAGAAAACCTTCACACACACACATGAAAAAATACTGAGAAAGACAAGCTGAAAATTCATCACAGAGGGAAAAGCATCACTGACAACAGAAATCAGCTATTATACAATCCACAGAAATGTTAACAAGTTTCTGCTCTAGGAATACAGCCGTAACAAAAGAGCTCAGTTGCTTGATCCAGCTGCAATTAGCATTCATGGCTGCTGGCCCAGAGAAGCTCTGCAGGTCTCCTCAGTTTAGCCACCAGTTAGGCTAATCATTATTCTCCCTTGCCCTTCAATGGTCACAGACCATCCTAGTAGGCATTTGAGATCATATCCTCCTCCCTAAGATGATTCCTCCACTCCATCAAATGTGATTGTAATCAGGTTCTCTGTGCAGGGGAGGGAGGGTTTCAGCAGTTCATAAAGCATCACTTAGCTGTGTGTAAGCTGCTGGGACATCACAGCCCAAAAGTTTTGTTCAGTTTCTTGTGAAGACCGGGACAGTCTGCTCCCCAGGTCATGAGGGACAGCAGGCAGGCACCTACTCTCACTAGCTCTCACAGTTGGAGAGGGTGAGGCAGATATTAATGAACTCAATGAGGATGCTGAACTGAAATGAGAATATTAGACATGATACGGACTTTAGATCCTCAAGCAGAGCTACAAACGTTAGCAGAAGGATCTGCCCTGCAAAGCAAAATAAAAAATATCTTCCTCTGACTGAAGGGGAAACCAAATCAGACACAAAAAAGGTTAAATGCATTGCCAGAAAGCATAAAGCAAGTCAGTATTAGAGGCAGGGGATTACAGTGGAGAGGTCCATGAGTTCCAGCCCAAGCCCTGCTCTAGACGCTGCAGCATTATCATTTATAAAGTGAAGTAGTCAGTTGGAAATAGCTCTATAATGCCAAGTATATGAGAAAGCTAATACTCACTAGCTAACTTTTAGCACCATCAATTTTTCTCCAAAAAGCATTCCCGTTCACAGTTACAAAACAAATGGTCAGTGGAAATCACACAGAGCAATGAAACAGCAATGAGTACAAGTGAAGGCAGAGCAATAACTAGAGAATGTAGCATAGAACCACACCACTGAGGAGGTCAAAGACCAAGCAAAGTAAAATCTTAAAGGAATGAAGAGAGCAGGCATGGTAGAGGGAGAAAGGATACATACATATTTTATAAAGAATGAGTCAAAAATTTTAGTTTAACATAGACTTTCTCTTCCTTTTGCATAGATCCACCAAAGAATAAAAAACCCTACTAAATTCAATATTTTAGAGATATTCTGACACCTTCCCTTGTTAGCTTTAAATTCCCCATTTAAAGAAATGATTCTAGAAAGCTGTCGCTTTTTCATTTGTTTGTGAGCTCTGTTCAAAATATTTTAGTATTGGGCACTTTGTCTTGATGGTCAGTGGGTTACTTTCTATAGTACCATGTTGTTAAAGGTAGTCAGTATGTGACATTGTTTTCCCCTTCATCTCTCACACCCAGGCGCAGGTAGCAAACAGTCTTCAATAGCATTAAGTTCTGTTATATCCTACACATCGTACAGGTTATAACCTGTCACAGCTGTGGGATTTATATAAATTTGCAGGAGCCAAAGAGAAACTCAGGTGAGCAATCGCAGAATCTAAAGAAAAAAACTAATGAAAACTTGGGTGATAGAGAGATTGCATTCCCAAGACAAATCAGCACATTACGGACTCAACTTTCTTTATAGCAAAAATCAGAGCAAAATAATTAATCATACCATGGCGAGAATATATAGCATGTGTTTCAATTCAGTCCTATCAAAGTTAAATTTAATTAAAAATAATAGTTATTTTTTAAGGCTCTTTTAACATAATTATTTGGTATACTACAGATGGCTACTTAAACATACGTTTAAACAAAATTTACAGGAAGAAGTAAAAATCAAATAAATTTCAGGGAAAAATTAGAGCTCTGTGATTAAAGTATAAATATGGAGAGTTGCCAGAGAATGTACTTTGCAAATATACCACATATTCATAATGACAGGCTACTGAAGTATATAAATAATCTTGAATAGAGCTTTTATCACAGGGCTTTTTGCTTGTTTTAACTGTAGGATAAGCAGAAATTGCTTCACATGGGCATGTTGTTTATAAGATGAATTATGAAATTACAACACTGTATACAACATGTATACAGCATGTGTAACAAAAAATGCAGAAGAGCCAGCATATGCTGTGAGCCCACAAGGCAGCATGGTGTGTTTGGGGGCAGAGAAGGGAAATGACTGGTGCTCCAAGTCTCTGTTTTGATAACATCTTTGCACCAAGGTCAGAAGGATGATGCGTAGGACAGGCAGAAATTTTTGTTTCACCACAATGGAAAGAGCTAAAGATCTGGTTGGAAGATTGTCTCTTGCTTCTCATTTATTTAGATATGGTGTCATGTTGTGCTTTAAAAGCTGGGAAAATAGTTTTTCGTTGATTTTCTTTGTTTTAAACAGACATTGAGCTCTTCTGTCCCCATGTTAGGGATGTATGTAAGGCCACACATCAGTGGGCCCAACACAGCTGAATTGCTTGTCCCCTTACCCCTGCAGTGAATTTGGCTTATACTATAGCACAGCTTCTTCTCTCATCCAGAAAATGCACTAATACATATTGGAAAATCTCCCTTTTATTTTTTCTCCCTTGTGTGGGATCAGAGAGAACAGATTCTTTCATACCATAGCTTTAGGCCTTCTTTGTGACTGTTTTTCTTGTTAAAGCACCAGAGCTGGCTCTTGTAGCCTATTTTTACTGTGCCGTGTGATTCTGCAGACATTGACATGTGTCACCTGTGATGCAGCTACATTTGTCGGCTCTCTGTGCTCAACAGGGAGGAATCGATCCTCCACTTTCATTAGGTGGCAGGAGTAGACTATTGGCATAAAAAATACTAAAAAAAATTGGAAAAGAAACCCCAGGACTTTCTGCTTGGAGACCCAGCCTGCAGTTCAGTGGTCATTTGAATTATTGAATGGGATTAAAATAAAAGCCATTTCCCTTTTTGTCCCTTTACCTAGATGAGCCATCTGAAATGCAAGTTGATTTGTATTTTCTTTTATCCCCTCAGCTTGTTAGGGAGAATATTTTATTTCAGATTCCATTCTTCAAGGTTCTCCTATCACCCAGCGTGGAGCGTTGCTGTCATATCCTTATCTAAAAAAAGAGAGATGGAAAAGAAAACAAAGCCCACAGGTGACACACATTTTATTAAGGTGTTCCACATGAAGTGCAATTGTGTGCTTTACAGTGCACACAGCACGGTAGGAGCCTTCAAGAGGAAGAGAGGGCTATCAAATGAATACAAATTCATCTTTCAAAAAGGTTAGATTGGAATTGCTCAGGCTAGTACAGTGTGGACCATATTAAAATAGAGACCATTTTGCAGACTATCTTTCCATTCACTGTCACAAAGGCCACCTCCATTGGCAGACCACAAAAGCCTCAGGGCATGCAGATCAACTTTATACTTGAGAAACAGCATGTGGGGAATTTTGAGCTGGATGTTAGTGCTGATAAACAGCTAATAAGGTAGAGTTAGCACAATGTTAATAGCTGAGTGAAATAGGTTTTCACCTCTCAAAAGTGTTCAGTATTCAAGATGTTTGACCCAAAACAAAACTCATAGTTATCACAGCACTGTAACAACTTCCATGAAGATCGTGGGGTATGGAGCCAGGGGGTCAGGATATTTAGCTGTGAGCATCTCAGGTCTCAAGCTGCACCTTATAACACATCCTGGATCCTGACTCCTAGAGTCCACAACACTGGAAACAATGTACTGAACACATTTACGTAAATAGGCTCTTAAACTTCTTACACATCTCTGTGATGTCTTGGCAAGCCATGGCCAAGCCATGAGTACCAGTGAATTTAGATCAAGCTGGAGACACTTACTTTGATGATTTCAGGCTCCTTTCTCTAATTCTGCTTTAACAAAATTTGCACAGGAAACAACATTCAGTAGCCATCAGTCCCCAGGTTGTTTTTTGAAGTTATGGCAGTGTTTTCCCAAATATAATGTCAAAGGAAAAGAGAACTAAGTTTAGCAGTGAACACACAGAAGATGAGTTTAAAAAAATTTAGAAGTCCAGAAGATCAAAATAGGAGACTCAAAAATTTAGTAATGTAATCCACAGCGAGGCTTCTGAGTGGGCTGTTCTTCAAAGTGTTAAGCATACGGAGATCCCATCAACTGCAATGCTTTTAACCTGTACACATGATTCTAAAAGCCTAACTGAGCTATCTGCCCCTGAGATTGGTCCATGTCTTTATTCACTTTTAGCAGTCCTTGAAAATACAACTAACAGGGACGATGCTGTAAATATCTATAAAGCAATTTGCAAGGTATGATACTTGTTGCTGAGTACGTGCTACAAGGCGTTATTCAGGTCTTTTCCTCAGCAGTACTTTATTGATACAGGTTTCCTCTAATGTTTATTCTGCAGGTCTAAGGCATTTGCTTTTACACGAAATATTGGGGATTTGGCTGCTAGTAAGATGACTCCAGTTCTTCTGCCTGAAACAGTGCCTGACATAATGAAGATGTCCTTCGATTCAGATTCTGCATCGGGCGAGACTGATAACATCAGGGTAAATGATGTAGTGTCCGACTATTCTTTCTGGGGTTTTTAATCAGTGGGAGACCATTTCTTTTATCCATAGGAAAATGTACAATTCATCTCTGACCAATGCTGCTTTGCTCAAAATAAGTCAGGTTCCATCTAATAACACAAATAGCCGTATAGTAACATTGTTTTAAAATTTGGAGTGTAATACATCAGACTTGCAACACTTTTTCAAAAGCAAAAGCATTTTCTTTGGTAATTAATTTTACACTGCCATCTACAGGATAGGCCCACAATCTTTAAAATACTTTGCAACCATTATGCAAGCATCACATTCCTGGGGCAGCCAGGAATGTTCCGCAAGACGCTCCATTGCTCAACTTGTAAAGCCAAATTTAATGCTTATGAACATCCTGATTCAAGGATGGATGGCAGTTTGTGTGTCAAGTCAAATGACTTCCTGAGCTACAGTTTTTTGTAAAAGCCAGTACAAGCTTTCTGTGATGGGCAGCGTCGTGAAGGGCATTACCGTGACAATTCATTCAGTGAAAGACTGACAGGTGACGAATACACTGTCCTGTTCTGGTTTAATTATTGTCCTGCAACTCTGAAGGGTTTTCAGATAAAATAAGAGATGAACAGACGATAAGTACAGCACTTTCATATGGAGAAGTCAATAGGCAAACATACTGTCAGTGAGAGCAGTTTCCAATATCCTGGAACAAGAAAGTTCTTCTGTTTTGTGCATCTGTGCTGCCCTTCCTGAAAACTCAGTTATTCTTAAATGAACAGCAACTGAAAATAGTACTAACTCAAGCATTTCCCAGTATAATTAGAATTTCCCTTGGAAAGAAATTACTAGCATTAAAATTCCAGTTTTTCAGTGGGCTTCATACAAGTTTGGGATCTTTTGAGACATGATAAAATGAGTAAAAAATTAATTGCAAACCTGTATTACATGTGAAATGAAAGCTTATGATTATGTGTCTTTAGCTATTTGCTTCGTTGCTCCAGGAAATCATAGTTTTCATTTCATGGATTTGATTCTAATTTTAATTAATTGTAATTTGTTCTTCTGCAAGCATTGCTTAGTACATGTAAAATACATAGTTTTGAATGGAAATTTCTAATGTCTGATGTGCTTTGACCATCTAGTTGATATAGTCTCACATTCATGTCAGACCTCAACTGAGACAGAATTTTCATGGACATAGATGAAGGTTCTGTTGTTTGACCCAATCATAAATGAAAGGCAAGAACTCTAGTCAGTCTAGAGCACACTTGGATTTATCAAGAACCTGTTAACACTGTCTAATACTCCAGGAAAACAAAATTAAATACTTAGAATTAATTTGTGATATAATTTTCCATTCTTACGGCCTGAAGCTCTTTTTACACTAGATAGTCTAATCAAGCCATTCAGTTGATAATTCTGTCCAATTGAAAACCAAGTTGTCCTATGTCACGTTCTTGCTACTTCAGATAAACTGGTTAATTCCTCCTACAGAATACATGTAACTGTTACTGAAACAGGACTCATAACATGCAAGTATTCCTCTTACTGTTGTCCATTTTATCTTGACATGTGTATTATCTAATAGGACAGACAGTCTGCAGAAGATGTTTCATTGGGAAATTCCTTTTCCTTTGGACACTCTTCTTCCCGAAAAGAGCCATTTGTTCAGTCCATATGTTCCAATGCAAGTACATTTGGGTTTCAAGTGTGCATTGAGAGGAAAAGCGTACATGCAGCATTTATCAAAAATGTGCCTCTTTATTACCTAGTTGGAGAGCACGCCCTTAGAATAAGCTTCAAGCCAGGTAAATACAACTATGTACAAAAGAAGAAAGTAACAGGTGGGTGGGTAGGGGTGCATGTATACACACATAAATATTTGTATGTACATATATCTCTTTTGTATCTTAAGTACTACTAAAACTACCATTAGACCTACTAGTCCTGCCAGTATTGGCAATGGACTACACTTGTAGCAGGAAGCCATTTCTCCCCCATTCGTCTGAGCAGCGATTTCCCAGCTCTCCCAGCAATGCCACTCAGCATGGCCAGCGTCAAACAGAGCTGATCTCTGCCTGCAGAGCGTGTCTGATGCATCCTGAATCATTGGATTTGGGATGCAAGCACAGAGCAATTGGACATGGGCAACAGATCTGATGCAGTGTCCTGTAGCTACACTCTAAAAACCCAGGCTCTTAAAGGGAATTATGGATTAACCCTGCCAGGATCTAGTCCTTAATGTCTTAATCCATGATCATAAGAAGTAAAAGCACAGCAGGCCACTGAATCTAGGTCTCCTAAGTATCAAACTAATGGCCTAACCATTGGGCCGTTCTTTACAATTGAAGAGTTGGGCCTCAGTTCGTCTCTGATGCCTAATTCGCTATCCCATAGTGTTATGTAGTTAAGCAGTCCAATTCACTTGACTTAAATCTGCTGATCATTCTCTTTATTTACTTGAAAAAGAACCTAGTATCATGCCAATATTTTAAAATTTGGTTATTGTCAGTATGTGCTTTAGCTATTACAGAAATTTTTTAACAAAGTTGCTCAATACTGAAAATAATCCACGAACATTCATATTTTCATTTGGGGAAGAATGGCTAAATAAATTATAGTAAAAATTGGCTTAGTCTTTTATTCCATTGCTATATGTAATATGTAATATGAATTGTCATGCCATTTCAGTTTACACAGAGGCACCTATTGAAAAAGTACAAGTCACAATTCAAGCAGGAGACCAAGCTCCTACAAAAATGGTACGTTTAGTAACATTTGAAGATCCAGAGGCACAAGTATCTTCCGGCAAAGAAGCAATTAAAAGAGTGAAGAAAATCCTTGATGATACTAATGACCAGGTACTGCTGTAAAAATTCACTTCTAGATTTGTGGGAGACGTTACACAAAGCTTAGTTATTTACAGTTCTTTTACTAAGTAGCCTCCTTTGTTTAAACAGTATATAAAAACTGGAGAATAAAGACAGGCTTTGGGGTACACAAGTCTTTCTGCAGGTCTTTTGTTTGCATTCATCTCTTCTGCAGGTGAAGAACATTAGAAAGAGCGGGTTGGTTTTGTAGGTTTTTCTGAAAATCTCTTGTAAGACATAGAATAGCTATTGTGTGCCCAAAAGGTAGTCTGTTCTTTCCAGCTGCTGCAACTGTAGCAAAAAGGTATGACACCTACCTACACAACTTGCCCTGAGATAGTCACAGCTACAGCACTGTCATTACCAACATTAGTTACATGTATTTGTATGATCAACAATTTCTACACATGTTCATTATCACAAAAGGGTATTGGTCTACTTATGTGTGGGTTTAACACATTATAATGAATTTGCCTTATTGTGATGTATTGCAAGAATACTCTCAGGCATACGTTTTGTCTTCTAAGGCAGCAGAGAGACTCATAGCTCTCTGTATCTGATTTTACTTACAGCCTTCTGCAGGAACACAGAAAAATAATTTTGTTTTTCCAATGGTACCATTTGACTAGGGGACAAGAAAATCCAGAAGCTCATCGTCCAGTGCCAGCAGCACCAGTGGAAGGGCCAAGAGTACAACAAGCAGCCCCTCCAGCAGCGACTCTGACAACAGAGCATCACGCGGAGGCACCCAGATAAATCTGAAAACAAAACAGTCCAGAGCCAAAGGAAAGAAATTTTACCCGTTTGGGGACAGCAGCAGTAGCACCAGCAGCAGTAGTGGTAGCAGCAGCAGTAGCAGTAGCAGCAGCAAAAGCAGTAGTAGTAGCAGCAGTAGCAGTAGTAGTGGTAGTAGTAGCAGCAAAAGCAGCAGCAGTAGCAGCAAAAGCAGCAGTAGTAGTAGTAGCAAAAGCAGTAGTAGTAACAGCAGCAGTAGCAGCAAAAGCAGTAGTAGCAGTAGCAAAAGCAGTAGCAGTAGCAAGAGCAGCAGCAGCAGTAGCAGCAGCAAGGGCAGCAGTAGTAGTAGCAGTAGTAGCAGCAAAAGCAGGAGTAGCAGCAGCAAGGGCAGCAGCAGCAGCAGAAGCAATAGTAGCAGCAGCAAAGGCAGCAGCAGTAGCAGTATAGGTAGCAGCAACAGCAGCAGTAGCAGTAGCAAAGCATCTGGTATAAAGCATAAGGCTAAGAAGCAGTCCAAGACCACATCATTTCCACACGCCAGCGCTGCTGAAGGAGAGAGAAGTGTCCGTGAGCAGAAGGCTAAAACACAGAGTAGCAGCAGTAGCAGCAGAAGCACCAGCAGTGGCATCAGCAGCAGCAGTGAAAGCGTTGGTGTTTCCCCTCGCCACAGCAAATATGACAGACAAGATGAGCCGAAACGTGTCAAGTCCCAATTTAACAGTCACAAGAGTTACGACATTTCTACAGAATGGGTAAAATTTTCTAATGCTTTGACTTCTGCTAGGAGGTGATCCTTACTGAACTGTAGATAACAACCCTTTTGGAATTTTGCAGGAATATCACCTTCCAAAAGTATACCGGCTCCGTTTCAGGTCTGCTCACATCCATTGGGTAGGTCCCTAATTCAACTGCACATTCCCATGGTGGCTACAGTTGATATGATCAAGCATATTACGGAAGGGCTTTGTTTGGTTTATTTCACTTGTGCATTGTATACTGTCCAATATCAACATTGACAATGGCCAAAATAAGCATATTTATTACTAAAATACCAACTATTACACTACATCCTTCTGTTGTTGCAGCACTTGCAATCCTCAAATTTTGGCCAGGACACCTTTGGGCTAGATGCTGTACAATGCAGCCAAAGCTAAGTTAACAAAGACCAGGATCTTCCAATAGGAATAGCTGTGTCCGCAGTTTTTAGGCAGTCATGGTGAAATCATCATGTATGTGGATTGTATCAGAAATCAGGTTCAGTATGCATTATTGCACAGAGGTATTTTATGTATGTATTAGAAGGATGATGGTGTAGTGCCTTTGTAGGTGTTACCTGTAAAGTTATTATGTATCCTGCTTATGAAAGAAGAAGATGAATTACAGTGTTTTTAATTAAATTGTAATCTCTTTTTTATTTCTAAAAAATATGGATATGTTTTACCACTTATTAAGTGTCAGTTTTTATTTTCCCTAACATTAGACCTGGACAATGGGATGTTGCCATTTGCAATCACTGTCTACATGGCCTTCCCATCAGCAGAGAGGTGCAGGTGAATCTGAGGCACGTTCCTATCCAACATATTTCATGTCTGCATGATAATAAAAATAACACTCTAGATATGTCTAAGTCTGTCTGTTACCTCAAAAGGGATGCTGATAGCTCTGATTTTGATGCCTACACTGTAAAACTAGAGGCCATGCCGTAGCTTTTCAACCTATTTTTGTTTAATAGCATCCAGATCGAAAGACATCAAGCAGCTCATCGTCATCTTCCTCCGAGTCGGGAAGCAGCCACAGCAACAGCAGCAGCAGTGACAGCAGCAGCAGGAGCAGTCGCCCGAGAGGCACCAGCAGCAGCAGCAGCCGCAAAAACATGGAGGAAGCGCCGGCCACAGCTCAAGGAGGAGCCACGTGAGCAGAGGAGTCAGCACTCACCACAGCCATGGTTCCAGCCTGACGCACGAGGTACTACTACTCTCTGTGTGGTACAAACGAGCAGCCGGGCTTTGCTGGCTGCTGAGCAGGAACTGTAGACGTGGTGGCACTCCAACCAGCTGAGGGGCTTAGGCTCAGGAAGTACACTGCAAGTCAAGTTTGTAAATGGAAAGTCAAAATCCGTTCAGATATTTTCCCTCCATGAAAACATTTTTCCAAATTTCCTTGGCTTTAGGGTTTTCTTTGCTGGTTTCTTGAGTAAGTTTTCATTCATTTCTAAAGGTGTTTGCAGCATGTGAAAGCCTGGATTTGGAAATTATAAAAATTGAAGGGAATGGGGTTGTAAGGTAAAGGGGAAAGAATTTTCTTTTTCCCATGAAAGCCCAAATGCAAAATAAATTGCATTAAGGTAAAAATGGGGAGGAAATAAATAGGTTTTATTTAAAGATTTTTTTTAACTTGTGTGCCTAATTATTTTTAGATGTAGACCTGAGGTCATGAGTGTATGCAGAGTATAACTAAAATCAGACTTTCCATGGTCATTACTGATTGGTAAATGTGAAGTCCCATTAAGCACAGATCATCTTTATTACACACTTAGTATCCTATAATTGTACTAAGTAAAGGTATCTACATAATAATAGAACAAGTAACTCTGCAAATACAGGCAACGTCTGTGGGAACTCTGCTACTAAGAAGGATTTCAAAATAATCAGCTTGAAGGAGCTGTAGTATGGTAAAATATGTGGTATGGCAAAATATGTTGTGAATGTGTATACTGCTATGAAGATATCTAGTATGTATTGTAGGCAGCTATTTGAAATATTAAAATAATGCACAAAATGTTACTGAGTGCATAAAGATAGTTTGGAAGAGTCTTGGACCTGCATCAAAACAATCACAACTTTGACAATTCCTGGTGGAAATTAAATAATCAAGATTCCAACCAAATTTATACTTAAATATTGGGGAGATAGAAATACGTACCACAGACTAAACTGATGAAGGACAAGGGCTGCTTCCTCCTATCAGCACACATAAACTGGACTGTAGGCTTTCCAGTGAATACACAGAAATACTTAAGCACAGATGGTTGGGGGTTGTTTTTCAGCGCAACTTCCTGGGAGACGTAATTCCACCTGGCATTACGATTGTGGCACAGGCAGTAAGGAGTGACAACAGAAATCAAGGTTATCAAGCTACAACATATGTTCGTTCTGACGCTGCCAAAGTTGATGTGCAACTAGTTGTGGTTCAGCTGGCTGAAACCAATTGGAAAGCATGTGCTGATGCTGTAATACTGCCTCTGAAAGCACAGGTAAGCACACAGGCAGCTTCGCTCAGCGAGACATCTAAAAAGCCCAGAGGTTTTTTAAATAAGCACAGAGCACCTGCTGATTAGGAGAACCAAACAGGAAAAGCATACATATTTTGAAATGTTTCACAAAGTCTGTAAAATTTCAGAAAATGTTCCTATCTTTTGCCATTCTTTTGAATAAAAAATAAAAAAAATTAAAAAATCAGCCACTTCAAAATCTGGCAAAAAAAGATACTGACTTTCAAGATACATTACAATATGACCAGTAGAAGTATAAAAAATGTTTGAAAAATTGACTGCCTCATTACTATTACTACTACGTTATTACTTGCTCTACTGTCACTTTGATTGTCTGGGAATCTGGCTGTTTTTCTCTATATAGTTCATTTCAGAAGACTCGTAACTCAAATGCATTTGAAATGTTGTATTTCTCAGGATTTTGAAATGTTGTATTTCTTAGGATTTATATGAAAAGATGGAAAAAGTAAAGTTGGGTAGTGTGTTGATGCCTGAGAGAGCACCATAAATGAAGGAACAGGTCTTTCCTTTTCTTTTTTTCATGTCTTCCTGTGCTGTGCTTCTCACATGCCTTTTAAAGCAAGAGGTCTTTGCGTAACAATTTAAAAACCTCTGTTTTTCACAGCTGCAATTAGCAAATTCAGCATGATATTTCAGTATTGAAAAAGGTGGGGTGGGGTTCAAATCAAGAGATATCAGGGAGGTTTAATAGAAATTATAGTGCAGTTGTCTTCTAGAAAAAAACACACATTGATTTTGAAGTTACCGAGTCTAAGGAAATCTCAGGAAATTATGGCAAACCTGATGTTTCAGGGACTGCTCTGAGACAGGAACATGTACATGTAGTTCTGCGCAACCTAGCAAACTCTTTTTCTACTATGCCTCAGATTTTTTGGAATGTAGTCAAAATTTCTCTGTGAGCCTATTTAGAGCAAAAGAAGGACTTGGAAATATTAAGGATCAATATGAAGTTTTGGGAAAGAAGAAAAACTTGCATTTTGAAACAGTCAAGGGTGGTTCTGTGACTCTTTTCTGAAATTTGGGTGACTGTTTCCCTGTTTGTAAAGGCCAGACTGAGATGGGGCAAGGAGTGCCGGGACTACAGGATAGCAGCCGTGGCTACCACAGGCCAACTGGCAAGGAAGCCAGCTGTGCAGCTGAAGGTGCAATGGGGAAACCTTCCCTCCTGGATAAAAAAGACAAGCACAGTGTATGTAATTTGTTCTTTCCTAAGTTGTTATTTTGCCTTTCTTACGCTAGTTGCCTTTATAAAAACACTGAAAGAATTGGATGAAATTTTTCAACCGAAATATATTTGGGTTTTTTTTTTTAATGGAAAACACAGGTTCAATGGCACAAAAGTATTTTGTGAATGTATTCTACTTTCTCCACGTTTCCTATTAAAAGATATGCCCCAAATATTTGAAAACTTGACACGCTTAATTTCATTTTCCATATGAAATGATTTGATATTTCAGTTCAAAATGCCTTATTTTGAAATGTTGTTCTATCCAGTCTCAAAAAATACCCAGTTAAAATAAGCAAAATAAACCCAATGTGTTTCCTCTGTATAAAATCAACCATTTAATTTGACCCAAAGTATTATTTCCTTGACTTTTCAGTTCTTCCATTGTTTCCCTGATTTTTCAGAACTGCCAGTAGTCCTCATCTTCCCATGTCTGCTTTTGCTCATGTACCTGAGTTTGTCACATCTTATTTATCTCTAGATTCATGCAATACGTTCCTGGTGCAGCACTCGTGTTGGGCTTCTCAGAAGCACATCAGAGAAATCCATCTCATGAATTTATTGTAAGGGCAGCTGCAACATCTCCACGAACAATTGATACAGTAATTAAAGCTCCTGGGGTACGTGTCAGTTTTTATTTTCCTTTTCCTTACCTTGAATGGATTTTCAACTAATAACATTTTGATACTTAATGTAAAGAAAAAAAAGCAAAACATTCCGTTTCAGAGAAGCTGCTATATACCTGACTACATTACATGGGTCTTGAAATACATACAAGAGTACTCTTGATTTTGTGCTGCTTTGGTGCAATGTAGCAATAAGTTGAAAATCAGACTCTGTAGTCAAATACGTTATTTCCATGGTGAGAACAGCAGTTAGGCCCAAATTGTCTCAAGTATGACTGCTCTTCACTCACACCTTTATTCATTTTACCCAATGCAACTAGTTCTGTGGGATGTATAGGGAGCTCAGAGCAGATAATGGAGGCCTTGAGAACACCTTGCACTCCATTGCAACCATGTACAGCATCTATCCGCGTTGGCACTCAAGTCCCACATCAAGCACCATGCTTGATGAGACAGGTCCATTATGACAGCCACAAATACAGCTCTGCCTTAACCAAACTGGAGCAGTTAGTTACACTCTCAGAGCAGTTTGCACAGGCTGGATCAGCAGAATCCCACTGATTAATTGGTCCTTGTCCACCAAATCCCTATGCACCGCTTTGAAAAATTTCCCCTATGGATCTCCAGCAAATTAATAACAGCTAGCTACTCATACACAGAGAAATTAGTGTGTCTTTAACCCTCCATGGTGCTTCAGTATTGCAGGATCTTTAATATATGATAATGAAGAAGTAGACACACTAGGCATTAATTTGATTCTCTTGGTAAATGTAATTTGTAGCTACAGTGAGGGATCTTACCCCAATGTTCATCACACCAGTTTTCAGCCTGTATGCTGTTCACTTTTCCAGACATATCCATTGACTTACTCAGTCACTTAACTTGTTACGTTATTTTTTAAGAAGTCTCTTAATTATCATTTAAACTTCATCTATGTTGGTTACTTTCCAATGTCCTTAACAATTTCTCAAAAAATCAAGAAGTCTGACTAAAAGAGAAGACAATGATTCCTCACAAAAGCTTAAGGTTTGGGTGCATCCTGGAGAGACTAACACAACTGCAATTCAAAATGCATCTTCAAGACTTTTTTTTTTTTTCAAGATAAGAGTCTTTTTTTTGTTTGCAGTCATATCATGAGCAATATGGTTCAATTTCTTTTAATGTATTTTCATTTCTGCTTTTTCAGGTAACACTTTACTATCAGGCACTCCGAATGCCATTCACTCTGCCCTTAGGCCCATCTCCAACTTACGAGACTCGAGATATCACTGCCTGGAATTTATTTCCTGAAATAGCTTCGCAAATAGCACAAGAAGATCAATGTAAATATTACTTATATGCTTGTCTCATGAATAAGCAATGTTTGTAGATCTGTTCTCTGCCGTGACTGGGCCTTGCCTTTCCTTGTAGTGGTTTTACAGGGAAGCATAGCAGCTCTAACCCTGCTTTCTCAATAGCTCATTCCTTCTACTTAAAAGCACATTTGGTGGCAGGTGAATGAAGAGACTTCAAACTGATGTGAATATTTAGAGTTCAGGAATCACTCCTGTGGGCAAGTCCTAGAAGTTGTCTTTTGCCCCTTCTAAGAAGGTGCCATCTCTGCATTGAGAGGCATCAGATAATGGGTACAACACAGATCATGTATTTTCTATCCTGTTTATTTACTTCAAAAAGTAGTCATGTGAGTCTTAGCTCGTTGGTGCCTAGTACTTCTGTGGGAAATGTGAACTACTTTTTAGCATGGTTACTATCTTTAGTTTCTCAAGAATTTGGTACATTTTAGTCCCTGCTAGCTTGCGTTTTGTGTTTAGCACATAATCAAAATCAACACTAATATAGTCTATATCTGGTAGCTATCCTGGAGTGCTATCCTGTCCTTACAGATTCTGGCAGCATTAAAAGCTTCTGCCAAGGAGATGTTGAAGTTTCTTTCCTGTTTGCTGGGTAGTTCAATCTGACAGAGGTGGCCTTCAATACTTTGCAGCAGCATGCATGCCATCTGCCATTTCTTTTCTGGTTTTGTTTTGCAGCCACGTGTGAAGTCAGCGAGGGAGATTTCAAGACATTCGATCACATGAGCCGTACATATTCTTTCAATAAAAGCTGCAACCTGATAGTGGCCCAAGACTGTACTGAACACCCAAAATTCATCATTACTACAAGAAAGGCTGATCCTCAATCTTTCTCAAGACAGGTTCACATAAATACAACCTCAGCGTAAGTGTGGTTTAGAGGGCTCAGGAATTAGGTATAAAGTTTCAGGGAGTTAGTCTGGGGATGGGAGATGTCTAACTCCTAGGTCAAACTGGCTTGCACTCAGATATTTGGGGAAAGATGGGATTTCCAGAAGGAATCTTCATCTGAGACTCTTTAGCTTAGTTGCTCTTGTCTTCAATTTCACAACCACCATTATCTGATAACCTGCTCATTAAGTCCTCACACTGTCTTTTCTTTAAAGGTTGAATCTCAAAACCCAACATCCTAATGAATTTTGCACTTTGGAAAGAAAACAGCCCATTCATTCATTCAAAATTCAGATATTCAAATTGGTTCTCTGCTACCTTTGGTCACAACTATCTCTACTTTTCACATTTTAAATTAAGCACTAGTTTCTTCTTTTTTTTTTCTTTTTCTGAAGGAACATCACAATCTGTCCTGCTGCAAATTCATCTCTCCGTGTGGCATGCAATGAAGAACCAGTTCTATCACACAGTGGAGTTTCTGAGTATGAAAAAGGTAAGCTGTGATACCCACTTTTCCAGGACTGACCCAGAAACTAATTATCTTCAAGATGGTTTTATAAATTCCACAGAAAAATCTCAATGTAAAGAAAACACAACTGGGATTAATTCAAAGAAAAACTAGAGACTTCACTTAAGATTTGTATTGACTTACATTCCTGTTTCCTATAGTATATCCACTCTTACTTTCCCTCAGCATAACTGACAGGTAAAGCCCTTTCTTATCTATATGGTATGTCCAGGTTTGTGACTGTTCAGAAAAAAAGTGCTCATTATAGTCACAGTTAGATGCTTTGGTTCAGATATTTAGCTGGAGCACCACCAATGTCATTATCATTTTGAGACTTAGAAGACTGGATACAAAAGTCAGTTCCAACTATACGGAACAGCAATATAATATTTTTATAAATAAAGAGATAATTTCTTCTATTTTTGCTCTCTCTCTCTCCACAAAAAAAAAAAAAATCCAACTGTAGCAGCAGAATGATCATTGTGAAGGAAAATGCATTATGGTGTATTTTGTGCTACTCAGTTTCTCTATTGATTTCAAATTAAGCAGATCACCTTATGATTCACTATCTTTTTACAGACAATGTCAAAATTTATACAAACGGAACAACAGTTATCGTGGAAGCTCCAGCGCATGGACTGAAGAAAGTGACTTTTGATGGTGTGATCCTTAAGGTATTGGGCTTACTTTCAAGGTTACTACTTTCTTTCTGTTTCGTACTTTGGCAATGTAACAGACCAACACTTCAGTATTCACTACAAAGATATCCTATTTTACAGGTTACCGTTGCTTCATGGATGAGAGGAAAGACCTGTGGAGTTTGTGGAAATAATGACAGAGAAAAGCACAATGAACTCCTAATGCCAAATCATAAGCTGGCACACAGCTGTTCCGCTTTTGTTCATTCATGGGTATTGCTAGAAGAAACCTGCTCTGGTGGTGAGTAGATGTGAAAATAATTTATGCTTGGGGAGAATATGATTTCACTTTTCCTCTGCCAATAGCTACAAAATATTTTTTTTTAAGAGCAGTAGATATCTTTTACTTAGAAAAGACAATAGAAATACATATCCATTTTAACTTCATTAACCACTGACTGTTTAAAACACTGCCTGTGAATATAGAGAATATATACTACAGCAAAAGTCTTTGTCTCATGTGCAGTTTAATGTTGAATAATTGATTCAACTATAATTTCTTACAGTGAATAGCTTTTTTCTTGGAGAGGCAAAATCAGGCCTAATCTTGCTCCCACTGAAGTAAACGTGATTTTTACCACTGAATCAAAGCAGTTTTAGCTGTTGTCTGCAGACTTAATTTAATCAAACAAGTTGCAGGTTATGTATGCAGTGTCAGATCTTAAGTTTATTTAAATTTTCATGGTGCACAAAATTTCATTTTTGTTCTGCACCATCTGAGGGTGCGATCTCAGGGAAATATTTTGAAATACTCCTAAAGTAAAAGAGCTTCCTCTCTGTCATGATTTAACCCCAGCCAGCAACTAAGCCCCACACACTTCTTGCCCACTCCCCCCACGGTGGGACGGGGGAGAGAATCAGATCAGATATCATTCCCTTAGTCTGTGGACCACCCTGTGAAATGTCTGTAAAATGTCCATAAATGTCCACAGATGTCCACAAAATGTCCATAGAGTTCATTTAGTCCATGAGTTTGGGCTCCATCTGTTACGGTGGTCACTCAGGACAGGAGAAGTGGTGTGTTGCGTGGAGTTACTGGGCACCAAAGGCAGCTCAGGTCGGGTCACTGCTGCACTTGCACTGCTTCTTCTAAGGCTTGTCCTTCATTGGTTCAGGTGGTTCCTGCTGTAGTAATTCCCATAACGTGCAACTCAAATCCCAGATTACAACAATTTAAACGTATTTCCATTACAGTCTCCACCCCTGGCCCCTTTGGACCAGACCATTGGGTTTAACATTGCAATGAACTCCTCCCCTTGCCCCTGCTCCAGCTTGGGTTTATCCACAGACTGTGATCCCTTAGGGGTGTACCTGCTCCAAGTGGAGCCTATCTATGAACCACAGTCTCTCCAGGGGTATACCTGCTGCAGCATAGACTTATCCACAGCCACAGATGCTTCGAGGTGAACCTGTTCCAGTGTGGCCCTCTCCATGGGCCACAATGCCTTCAGAGATACTCCTGCTCCAGCGTGGCTTTACCCACAGCCACAGTCCCTTCAGAAGTAAACCTGCTCCAACACGGTCTTACCCATGGCTGCAGTCCCTCCAGGAGAGTACCTGTTCTGTCATGGGCTTATCCATGGCCCCATGCTTTGAGGTGCTCCAGCATGACCTCATGCACAGCCACTGATGCTTCAAGGTGTACCTGCTGCAGCATGGACTTATCCACAGCCACAGATGCTTCGAGGTGTACCTTCTCCACCGTGGACTTATCCTTGGACCACAATCCCTTCAGAGATATACCTGGTGCGGCACAGTTGTAACCATGGCCACACACACTTCGAGACATACCTGCTCCAATGTAGAGATATTCATGGCCACAGATGCTTTGGGGTGTCCTGCTCCCACGTGGACTCATCCACAGGTCACAGTCCCTTCAACTCAAGTTCACGCTGGAGTCCCAGCCTGTCTGGTACAACAACACAGAAACAGCAGCCAGCTGTTTCATTTAACAGCCCAGGCGCATGGCCATTGCTGTTATCAAAATGTTCCCAGGCACAGCAGAGTAAGATGGTAAACAGTACAGCAGTACAGCAAGCAGCAAAAGCAAAAAGCAGCCACTAACGAGCACTAGACTCTAATATACAGTAAGGCAAGCAAGCCCCATGGCAAGCACAGCAGCCTGTCAATTAATAGCTAAACAGCAATAACAGCTGTAAATTTGATCTAGCACATTCCAATCAAACCTGTCGTTATCTCAAACCCTTCGAGCCACACATTGGGCACCAAAAAGGACTGCCATGGTTTAACCCCAGCCAGCAACTAAGCACCACACAGCTGCTCACTCACTACCCCCGGTGGGATGGGGGAGAGAATCAGAAGAGTAAAAGTGAGAAAACTCGTGGGTTGAGATAAAGACAGTTTAATAAGTAAAGCAAAAGCCACGCGCGCAAGCAAAGCAAAACAAGGAATTCATTCCCTACTTCCCATCGGCAGGCAGGGGGTCACCATCTCCAGGAAAGCAGGGCTCCCTCACACGTAACGGTTACTGTTGTTTTATTTGGGAAGACAAAACACCATCACTCCAAAACATCCCCCCCTTCCTCGTCCTTCTCCCAGCTTTACATGCTGATCATGGCATCATATGGTACGGAATATCCCTTGGGTCAGTTGGGGTCAGCTGTCCCAGCTGTGTCCCCTCCCAACTTCTTGTGCACCCCCAGCCTACTCACTGGTGGGGTGGGGTGAGGAGCAGAAAAGGCCTTGACTCTGTGTTAGCATTGCTCAGCGATGATGAAAACATCCCTGTATTATCAACACTGTTTCCAGCACAAATCCAAAACATAGCACCATACTAGCTGCTATGAAGAAAATCAACTCTATCCAAGCCAAAATCAGCACACTCTCGCATATAGCTGGAAAAATAATGACGGTCTTCCATAACATCAATACGGTTTTGTTCTGTAGGTCTCCATTTACCTTGGACCTGAGATAACTTTATTGAAGTTAATGGTTGTTTTCTCCTTGACTTCAGTGGCAGCAGAATTGTACTTATCTGTGTGTCAGGAAACAAAGTCATAGCTGGGATCCTGTTAAGTTACATTATACCTTTCTAGTGAGATAATTGCAGCATTATAAAAATCATCCAATACAAAAATTATCCTTGATGTTATTATATAAATGCTGCCTTTTTTTTTATCCATTCACTACAGTTGACATTTTTCCTAATGCAATGAAGTAGCCATTGTGCTTGCAGTATCTATTCTTATTAGCTTTCAGACATGAGAGGTTATTTTCTGTATATTATGTAGTTCTAAAAAACTGGGTATACATGATTCCATTTGGGTTGTATTGTGCAATTAGGTTTTAAAAATAGCTCCCTTTTCAGACTCTTTCCTCTATCCCCCAACTTATTAACATCCTATCTCGATAACCTCGCTACTGTGAAAATGGTTTGTCAGGCACCTGTGTTTTAATAAAAGCTGAAGAGAAAATATGGACCTTTATTATTGCAAGGATCGATTGGGATTTGTTTCTACAATTTTAATTACCTTTCCTTTTCCTCTTAGGGTGCAAGCTGCAGCGCAGTTATGTGAAGCTGAATCGAAATCCTACTATTGATGGAGAGGAATCTACGTGCTACTCTGTTGACCCAGTACTGAAATGTATGAAAGATTGTACTCCAATCGAAAAAACTTCAGTTAAGGTTGGCTTCCGCTGTTTCCCAAAAGGTACGATATTTTTCTCTCTCTGTGTCACGTACTGTAGGAGCTCTGTCAGAGCACTCGAAAGAACAGAACACAGCACAGCCACACACAGACCTGTATTGCTCCGGCTCTTCTCTGAGCTGCTGTTTTAATCCCATTAGTATTTGCTATAACCACTGACAGTACTGGCCAGCTAGAAGCTAGTTTAGATGATGGCAGGTAGCATCATCTGAGAAAAACATTTGAGGTGGTAAAAGGGGCAGCAGTGATCGATAAAATTTTTTTCTCATCTTCAGGATCTCCATAAAGTTGAGATAAGCAACACTGAGTCCTTTTATGCACATTACATCCTGCAATTTTGTGTAGACCAGGGCAAGCAAGGCAATTGAAAGTCAGTCAAGTAGTGTGACATGACTGCTGTGATTAGGCTGCCATGGTATGCCACTGTGCAATACATCAGCAAAAAACACATTGCTGAAATGTTCTCTAGATTGTTCCGAAAAATGGTTTGTTTTTGAAGGTCTTTTATACACACACACTCATTCCCCAGATTTTTAGAAATACTGGGCCTTTTTCTCCTTTCACTTACACCAATTTGTCATGGACGCAATGCATTCTCTAACACAGGCTCACGCTAAAGTTATATAAGCATGAGAGGAGAATCCAGCCTGGAACCTACAGATATGGCTGGTGCATTCCTTCCTAAATCTTTTAATGAATTACTCCATACATATATACCTTAGAGGGAAACCTGCCATTAGGGAGTATCTACTGAAGTGGTCTGTTCTCTGTGTTAACCATTGTTGGCCAAATCCATTGTTAACTGGGATAATACAGCATCATTTCACTGAAGCCAATGGATCCCTGTGTTGAGTAATACTGGAGAGGAACAGACTATTTTATGTCTGACTTTAAACAACATCTGTGTAGAACTTTGCACTTTGCTCGTGTTGTTAATGTGCTGAATCAGCCCATAAAAGCAATGAGTATCTTTCTATAATAGTCAACCATCTACAACAGCCTATTGAACACATAGCACAGAGAGAGTGCTAATAGTTTTCTGGTGGCTCCCTGAGATGTGAATAGGTGCCTCCTTTTATGAAAAGAAAAACCCACCCTCAACAAAAAAGCCATCCAAAATCTCTTCATATCCATGTTTCATAGATTTCTTTTGTGTGTCCAAGTCTGTATCTCTGAAATGTCATCACCCCAGGCCACTCACTGCCTCAGAATATTGGGCTATAATAAAGCTGTCTCATTCTCTCACAAAAATGTGCAAGAAAAGAGGGAAATCAGAAAAAAGATACGTTAGTTGTCGCAGCCAGTGCTGCTTTTACAGCAACTGCAGGCTTCTCTGGTTCATTTACTGAACCAGAGACTGGGAAGTCTGCTAGCAGCACTCCTAATCAAGGGCTTTTTTTATTTATTTATCCTGAGGAGAAGGAGGAAGAGGGGGAGGGGGAAGAGGGAGAGAAGCAGGAAGAGGAGGAGGAGGAAGGGAAAAGATGCCATTTGTGGTTTTTTTAGCAAGACGATTGCTTTTCCTCAAGCTAAGGATCAATAGGAATACAAGGCCAGCCCTTAAAAACTGTTCTTTCTCTTTCTTTGTTCGATGACTTGAGGCAGAAGCAGAAACAAAATCCCCATCTTTCTCAAGCTGAGACCATTTATTTGCAGACACTGGACAAAGACCTTTTCTCAGCTCTTTATACGAGAGCTCAGATCTGGTAGTTTGCTGTTTTAAAAGAGAGGGACCTCATCACTGTCACCGGTGGAGCAAGGATAAAATGGAGTACAAAGACACAGAATTTCCCCTGTTGTCCTCAAATCAGTGACACATCAAATCAGGCCTTAGGATCTTGACTGAGGCAGACATCACTCCAAGTTTAAGTCCATATATTGGTTTACATTTCAAACATGCCACAAGCCCTACCCATAGGGATTGTAGTTAGTCAGCCATGATCCAGTTTGCTGATGGAACTATTTCCTACATGTATACGAATGTGATCAGACCCACAGTGTGCCCAAGAGTAAGAGGCATAATAAGTATTAATCGACATAAAAAACAGAACCCAGACATTTTATAGCATTTCTCATTTCCCTGCTTGAAAATATATTTTTTAAAAAAGCATCTCCAGCACCTTTCTGGGAAATACTTATTATCCAGTTTATTATGCAAAACCTGTGCTTCAGGCTGGACAGTAATTTAGCCAAGGAGAGTGTTAGCATTTCAGGAGATAAGTGACTGATACATCCTGAACCCATACAGCAGTATCCAGATTTCCCTGTGATGAGAGATGGCATGTTATAAATATATTGTCCAACTAAGGGATAAAACAAATGGAGGTAAAATTATGAAAGCTTTACCCATTCTCATTATACAAACTTAATCTAAATGGATGTCCTAATATTCTTCCAGATGCAATGATAAACCTCCAACTAGCTAAGAATACTTATTGGGTGGATGAATGTCATTATTCCATTTAGATTATTTCAGCATTAAGGGATATGGCTTATTCAAGCTGCTGTTGATAAAGCAGTGTGGTAAGGTTAATACTGCAACTGACAATGCTCTGCCAGATTTCACAATATATGGGAAACTTTAATTAGAAGTTTATGAACCTCTGAAAATTCTCCAAAGGGCTTATCCTTCAGAATGAACTTCGACAAATAGTCAGCTAAAATACGGAGTGATACGCAGCACTAACATAAAAAGAGATTGCTGATGTGTATTGGTATGTGGTGGTCTTGCTTTGAAGGTGGCTACCTCCAGCACTTTTACAGGCTCCTGCCTGATGTCTTTGTGCTTCATGAAATGTTATTAATTTTGTTTTTAGGGAAGTATTATAGTAATTATATCATGGATGAAAATCCTGCTCCAAGTCAATGAGTCAGTCAGATGTCAGTTGTGGGGGCAGGATTTCATTCTTTACTTGATGAAGGAGTTGGCAGCCATCAAAACAATATTTCCTTGAAATGTGTTAATTTGCTTGATGTTAGTTAACAATGGCTTCACTCTTCTGACAGATACTGCTGTAAGCCTGCTGGAATGGCAGAGAAGCAGCGATAAGAAATCTGCATCTGAGGATGTTGTGGAGTCTGTGGATGCTGACATTGATTGTACCTGCGCTGGTGACTGTAGTTAAGCTAAACGCTTTAGTGTTGTGCTATAGACATACTATACAAATAATTGAATAGCAGGACAGATAAGAAGGGAACGTGATAGCTGTAGTAAAATATTAAGAAGTGTGCTTGAAGAAAATAAGCCTACTGTATTGCATCCAAAGTCAAATGCATTATGTACAGTCTGCACTGCTTAATAAATATGTTGTTCATTAAATAAGTATTCATGTGGTCTCTCTCTTTATTTTTCCCTATCAACAAAACAATTGGACCAACTATAATATTATCCAGAAATTCTGCTTCCTTTTATCTGAAATATAATTACAGCAGCCCTCTCTTAAAATTATGTTCACTAGGTGATGAAAGGAAAACATGATTACAGCTACTGCTAACATTCCATTGTGCAAAGAATTTCATATTTAGCATACTAAAGACACAGTAAGCATTTGTTTTCTTTTATGTTTTCTGGTAAAGAGCAAAGTCTGTTCTTGGAACAAACAAAAAAATACATTTTACTCCCAGCAAGACCATTAGCCTTAGTACATTCTACAAAGGAATGAATTGGACTGCTAGACTCCCACTGTAGCTTTCCAGAGAGCTATAGTGTGTGACACAGTCCCCATTTTCATTTAAATTTCAATGGATGTGTTGTTGCTTCATGAGCTAAAAGTATGAATAGGAACTTTTTTTTTTTGGTTTACCATCTCCTATTGTATATCTATGAAAATGATGCCTTGAAAAACTTCAGGGAACAATAATACATCAGGTAGCATTCCAAATACTCCAGAAAAGTAATATATAGAAAAATATGTAAGATCAATAGCATCATAAAGCTAAAATAAAGTACAAGCCGGACAGTTAGACTGTGTTTAACCAGTGAAGTGTCAATCTGCTAGCTTTCACTAGGCCTACACAGAAAGGCAATTCCCTCCCACCCCAGGGGACCAGGAATAGGTGGCACCTTCAAACCCCAGGCAACGGCACGTATCTCTTCACCTTGTACACGAATCAGCCATGCTGTGAGCCGTGATACGTTTTCCGTAACAGGCAATAGCAGCCAGCATGCTCTTCCAAGAGAAGCCTTAGCGTGGGCAAGGTA